AAAATTATAGGACCACAAAGTAGCTCTGGACTGTTCACTAGATGATAATGTCAATTACACACACACACACGACACGGCTATTATGCGTCTTCATCGTCGTCATCCTCCGCGTCTTCGTCATCTTCATCTGAATGAAAACAAAACGTTACTCTACATTCAAATAACGCGGGCACCTACCTTCCCCATCCAATTCCCCTTCGTCACCTTCAGGTAATTCCTCCTCCTCATCGTCCTCCTCGACTTCCGCAATTTCTTCCTCCTCCTCCTCCTCTAGTTCCTCGCCTTCGGATCCCGCACCATTCTCTTCTTTCCTCGCTTTTTTCACGTCCTCTGATTTGTCCTGCACGAATTCGAAAAACAACACAATTAATTGGTGGATAATATCCCTCCCCCTTCGCTTCCTAATGCGATTAACTCCCTCTACAAAAACCGCGCGCGCTATTTGAAAACAAAGATAAAAACCGATTATCGCGCACAAACAGAAAAGTGATAGAACTACGCCAAGAAAACAAATGACGGCGGGGAACTCATAATATTTAAAACGCCGTTAGAAAGTAACCATTCGAGTTTGAGGGTCATTCTCCGTTACAATTTTTTCCCCCAAAAAAATACGTTATAAACAAAGGTCGAAGGTTACTAAACGATTAGGCGACATTTTCCCGAACTTCAAATTTCAACAACAATTAAAATTCGAATTCCTACATTTTTAATAATAATCTCGTGCGGGGAACGTAAGAAACACTATCGATTTCGCCATATTGAAAGTAAGGCTACGCTAGCCTCTAACAGGGTTCGCACCTACAATGGCGGGATACGGCTTGTCCACCATGTTTACAATTTGGAAAATTAATGCGGGGCCTCGCAAACTGCTAAAAAGCGATGCAAACAGTCGACATTCACCCAAACAAAGCCCTCAACACATCAAGCACGCGCTGCAACATTTTTAAACGGCAATAATTATCCTACACGTAACCAACGCATGGCATGGCGTTCCAAGTACATCAACATAATTTTTGATTTATAACAAGAAATGCGTTTCCTAGAGAGGCGCGCTAATTATAGCGAGCACGCGTTGCCACAATTAAACGATCTCGCAAAACAACAACGAAACAAACGTGGGGAAAAAATTTAAAAAACCTACCTCCGCCGCTCTCTTCGTTCCTTTAAGTTCACACTTGGGATCGGTCGCACTTTTGTCATTCTCTAATTTGTCGACAGAAACTTCATTATTTTCTTTGGAACTCATTGTATTTTTGTATGTGTAACGCTTCTTTTTGCGTAATCGAACTGAATACCACGATCGCTTACAACACTACTGACCGGCTCCGTTCAAGCTTTGTTCAAAAACGAAGATGGCGCCGCCGAAACCGAATCCTGCCGCGTTTAACCGAATTAGCGGCTCACTTTATTACCGAACTAATAAATACTCTTTCTACGGGAATTTAAATGACACGACCCGTTATTTATTTAATTGCATCAAAAGGGGAGATTCTACGTTCGGTTAATTAAATAAAAATTTTCGTATTTAAAAATTTGAGGGGTTCGAGAGTATAGCTGCTTAGTGCAACAGCTACCGTCGAGATTAAAAAATTATTTCCCTGATGCTACCGCTAGAGCGCGTACCGCCCGCCAAATATAAAAAATGTGTGTCATTACGTATATCGCGATTCATTAGGAAAGTTTTTGGTAAAAATACCGAGACAAGTGACCGCCGTGACGGAATCTCACGCCTATCAAATGGGGACAAGTCAAAATGTTGTATTTCAGGCCTACTACGAACAATTTCACGTTTGAAGAGCGTAGAACGCGACTTTTAAAAATAACAGTATGACTTTATAATTTCGCGCCCAGTGGCGTAACAGACACTATCTATGTTGCGATAAGTAAACATAGATACGAAATGATAAACCGATTGATGTATCGAAAAACAAATCCGCATTCAGAGCTTATAATCAATTCGCGTTGAAAAAACAGGCGCCATAATCGCGACACCAACGCATTCGCAACAAACGTGCCACGTGTTGAGGTGACCCAAACCTTTACGACGCCCTCTTGACACGTTGAGCTCATTATGGTACTTTTAAGTTTAATATTTCTTCGGCAATAAAAATCAACCATGCCTAAGTCTAACAGAAACTTTATTTCGCAATAAATTGTATGATTTCAAAGACAGTGGCGTACCACACAAATACGATTGAAAGCAACTCCCCGTTCGTAAATTTTTGAAACTGCAATCGAAACATACACTTTGTACAAATACAACAAAAGTGAAAATACCTCGTTTGGAAATACGTCAACAAAAAAAAAAAACAAAGCGCCAACAATTCTGATCTAGAGGTTTAAACAAGCACGAAGTTTTGAAAAAAGCAGAGCGAATTATTATTGGCGCACGAACAAAAAATTTGCTCTGTACGCCCCATACCGGGATTTGTCTTTAAGATTTAGTAGTTTAGGTCCCATAAGATTCCAAATTAAAGTTACCAATCCGATACATCTGTTACATGCAAAAATGAACTTAACAAAAAATGGGTGACGTCATATGGCAAAAACAAACAAAGATCAAATCTAAAAATTCAAGAATGAAAAAGAAATGCTTATTGCTCTCCTCTAACGGCAACTTTTTTTTACATACTTACCAGTTACGCCCTGTATAATTTAAATGAGCATCACATGATTAAGGTGGAAGGTCAATTTTTACCCCACTTGATCGCCTTTTGTTTTTTAAAGTCATGACATACCAAATGAATTTTTAGGCAAACACCTACTACTCTTTTTAATTTTTCTGGTGCAGATTAAGATAAATAAAGATGTGTATATTCTTTAATACACTCTGAATATGTAGGTATGCATGTTCCTCCATATCTCAAAAATGGCTGGGAATTTAAATATCTTTTTTGGACATTGTTTATTATACCGTGCGTTCAACATAAGGGGGTCAACTCAATATCTCTTTTATTTGGCGACATGTCAAATCTGGCATGCCGTGTGCTTTATTTTTGCGCATTACGATGTACCCGTCTACCAACAGACATCGCGCATCCTGACAGCACACGGCATGCTAGATTTCATAAATTTTCTAAATATTGAATCATGAATTTCCCAATTTTGTTGTATTATGTTGCAGTACAGCTCTTTTCAAATATCTTAAAAAAAGAGGCACTGCATTTGAAAAACCGGAAAAGACGGAAGTGATACCGGAAATTGGAATATGCGGTCGTATAGGTCCTAACGTCACATATAAATTTATATTTGACAAATTTTTCGTATGTCGACTTAAAAAAGAGATATTAGGGTGACACTCATATCTTGAACGCACTGTATATATACTAAATTGACAAGTTCGCATGAGCCGTTTATAACTGAGACTGTTTGACAAAATTATTGAGGTTTTATTATTTATTTATATACAGGGTGACAATTTGAAAACTTACCACCCCCCATATCTTAGTAAATAAACGAGATATTTAAAAAAATCAAAATCCGTTTCGGTAATTCGGAGGGGAAATCACAATGACATAGTTGGCGACGCACCCCCTCACACCCCCTGCGCCCTAGCCACCCCAACTTTTAAATCTTAAATAGGGACTCCCCATGTGTGATACGTCATTGGAAAGTTCTGAAAAAATGCTTTCCAACCATACCAAATAGCATTACATTTAGGTCAGTAATTATCGTGCAAATCAAAAAATAAACATGGAAAATCGTATTTAACTTGAACTTCCAAAGCCGACTTGACAGCAACTCATTTTTGATCGCCAGTTATAATCTATTCTCAAACTCTTGTCGAACCTTTTCAAATGTTGGTTTTGCAATATTTCGACATTCTTGAATTATTCTCTGTCTTAGTTCGTCTATGTTCGCCGATTGCGTTTTAAATACGACAGATTTCAAATGTATCATATTAGTTTATTTTTTGATTTGCACGATAATTACTAACCTAAATGTAATGCTATTGGTATGGTTGGAAAGCATTTTTTCAGAGCTTTCCAACGACGTATCACACATGGGGGGTCACTATTTAAGATTTAAAAGTTGGGGTGGCTGGGGCGCAGGGGTTGGAGGGGGTGCGTCGCCAACTATGTCATTGTGATTCCCCCTCCGAATTACCGAAACGGATTTTGATTTTTTTAAATATCTCGTTTATTTACTAAGATATGGGGGTGGTAAGTTTTCAAATTGTCACCCTGTATAACAAACTCGGCCAAATCCGGTAACTGCTTTCTACCTTCAAGTCAGTGGGGTACGTAAAGCTGTGCTAATTAATATTTCTTAGAATCTAAACGTTATAAAATGTGGGGGGTGGGGGGCAGTAAGTAAATAAATAACATTGTATTGACTAAAATGTCTATCATCCTTGAAGAGAATTTCTTGAAAGCAAAAGAAAATCATTTCAGTCAAACGTGGATGTTAGTAACGGACCATATATCTAATATGCCCATGTAATTTTTTTTAAGCACATTGGGGTAGGTGTGGCATTTCTGCACCCTACTTAACTTCCTGGCCAGGTTGGTACAGCAAACTTCATAAAAAAGAAAAAGTTAAACAGAAGCTTCATGCAATTAGAAAGTATGCTTCCGCATCGCTCAACTTTAAAGAGTAATTTTGTTGTATTTACATATAGGTGACATTGTTTACTTAAACTTTTTATTTCCCTATCTTTGAATATATTAATTCATAAAATGTCTACATGCATTCAGGTACATGCCACGAAATCCTTGAAGTGAACTAAACAATAAGTTCTTCACGCTTCATGTATAATATCGATCTTACCTATCAACTATCAATTACACGTCTTATTTTCATTGTTATTTGTGCAAAATATTCACTTTTTCCCCATGAAACTATAAGCGTGACCAAAAAGCAATACGGCGCATAACCACTCGTACGGCATCAACGCAATCAAGCAGGATAATAATTTTGACACAATTTTGCTACCGCCACTATCCCTAACTTATGCAAAATAAAAAAAACATTTTGAGCATCACTGACGCATTCATTAATCATTCTATTCTATTGGTACTTGGTACCAACCTAACAGCGCCTGCGTTTTGTCAAAAAATTTCTTTCCAGCAAGAACAGTTTCCGCTCAAAAAGGAAAATGGTAGGTGAATTTAATTCTAGAAAAGTTTTCAATAATCATCCACTTACGGCGATTAATATCAACAGAAAAAGATTGTTTCTCGGCAAATTGCGATATATTCACGTGCAATTTGACGATATTTTTCACCAAATTTAGGTTATGTATTTATTGTGAAATGTTCTGTTTTAGGTGAACGTACCGAAGCAACGTCGTACCTTTTGCAAAAAATGCAAAGTACACAAGCTGCATAAGGTGACACAATACAAAAAGTCGAAGGAACGTAGTGCTGCACAAGGAAGAAGGCGTTACGACAGAAAACAGCGAGGTTTTGGTGGTCAAACCAAACCGATCTTCAGAAAGAAGGTAAGGCGATCAGTCGAGCGTTTCAGGATAGTTTGAGATTTGTTTTTAGGCTAAAACTACGAAAAAGATTGTGTTACGTATGGAATGTTCCGAATGCAAATATCGTAAACAACTTCCCCTTAAACGTTGCAAGCACTTTGAACTTGGTGGTGACAAGAAACGTAAAGGACAAATGATTCAGTTTTAAGTTTTTTTGTATAGCTGTACTGAATATATAATATAAACAATTCTTGAACGATTTTATTAACACTAAATTAACTACTAATCTTCAACCGAGTCATTCCTAACATTCGCATTAGGATTACTGTAAGTATAGTGTAAATGTTAATTACTTGTACAAAAAAGATGGAACGCTTACTCTAGTAGGTCCGGATCAAACCCTTCCACTGCCATTTTGTTCTTAACCGCTTGAAGAGGAACCCCAAACTGTAGCATTTTGAAGAACTTTTGATATCTAGGATCGTCGGCCGCTTTCACGTGGTTAGAATTGTCAACAGTCTCATTCTTCTCCTCCGATACTTCAGGGAGTTCAAGTAGTTCGACTTCACTAGCTTTAGTCTCGTTATCTGCAACTTTGTTTAGCACGGATATTGAGGACAACTAAAATTCACCGAGCATTACCAATGGATCAACTACACGGGCAGATACTCACTTGCGACTCTAAAATTAACAAAGAGGCTTCGATCTTTTGGATTTTATACTCGAATTCCATCAAACGTGACTCGCAAGACTGCGCGAATGTGTTTAAGAACGAGACGGTGCTCGATAAGAAATGATTTACGAAAACGACAATTCGCTTTTGCAGAATGGGCGATATCTGTGAAAAAGATCGCTCTTCGATACTTTTTCATTGGGTAATGGGGGAGCAAAGCTGAACGTACCTTTTCGTAGTCGCAGTTCAGGTCGATCGTGGCAAAGTCGGACACCTCCATTTTAAGTATGGAAAAAAGTCTGATTTTAAAGAGTTTGTTGTCGTAAATGTTTTAAAAACTTGCTAAATTGTAGAATCGAGAAAAGTAATTTTACAAATAAATAAATAAAAACAAATTTGACACTTACTGCGGATTCAGGGGTACCACTTTGGAAGAGATTAGACAACCACACAAACGTAAAGAATAATTTCGTGTATGGTGTGTTGCCTATATGTAGGCGTTTGTTCATTAATCAACGCAGATTATACTATGCGATCAGAAATGAAGACCCGACTATGATTCAAGGGATTTTTTTCTAATACATATTGTATAATAGTTCTAAATTACCATTATTTATTTAGTTGCATATGAAATAAACAAACAACCAAAGAAATAAAAAAAGGTATATTCCCAAATAAACATAATAATGATAATAATTGTGGTAATAATAAAAATAGCAGGCGCCATCGCTTAGTTAATACTATTTTGAATGAGAAGTAATTTAAGAAATAAATCAATAATTATTTTATATTGTCTTGATTGGAGGCCACTACAAACATTGCAATGAACGAAACAACATTGCTTTGTTAGTTTTTAATTAAATAAAATAAATTAAAACACGATGAAAATTAAAGTACGACGATTAACGATTATTAAAATTCTTCTTATATTTATAATTGGACGAACCTAAAGATAGCCGTTATATTAGTGACAAAACAATTAAAGCATTTACCTTTATAATAGTTACGTGTGTTTTTGTAGGTTTCGTTATTATCACAATTTACAGGTATACAGTCTTGCCGAACTACCTCCTCCACGTTACCGTAACCGTTAAATTGTACCACACAGGTCTTTTCTGTTAAATTAATTACAGTTGCGTTATAATACTGCAATTACATTTGAAAAATTAGTCAATAAGATCAATTAAATCGCAAACCTTATTGTCTTCCCAATATTTTGCCATGCACAAATCGCCAATTTTCCATCTCCATGTACCCGAGTTGTTATCGCTTATTGACGTTTTTTCAAAAGATCTCTGTACAGCATGAAGAATTGCATCGTTTACGTTATCCTTTTTTTTATCTACATTTGATTTAGGCGGCAGTGTATGATTGCGTTTATTGTCATTATCATTTGTTTGTAACTTATTCTCCAAGAAATTGAATAGGGAAACTTTATCGGGCGCCTTTTGTACTTCCACATTCTTCTCTTTGAAATCTCTTTTTTTGTAGCCTCTCTCGTTGTTATACGGTCTACGGCTTCCCACAAGAGGAACCGTTTTACTTCCTCCACCAAACACTTTTTTCACTGCCCCAGTTGCTACCACATTTATCGCATCTTGCCTTTGAATGTCGAAATCGTCTTGCTTTATTTCTTTATTAACCAAAGACTTGAAAGACTGGTTTGATTGCAGCTGAACGATTTTTTCCCCAAAATTCACCCACGGCGGAGGACCATCAACTTCACCTGCATACAAGATGTAAATTAGTATTGTCAGAAAAAAAAGGCAGTTAAGAAACTAAGTAGTACAACATCCCTCTTCATCTTTATATTTTTTCTATTACTTACCAGACGATCGCATTTGTTCAGACACTTGCTTTGTAAGCTCCCATTTGTCATAAAGATGCGGCACTTGGCCCCCTAGAAATTTGCAAGACTGCGGCGTGAGCAAAACATAGTTCCCTGAAACAGCAGCAGAGTTCAACAAAACCTTTGAACCGGGCGGTGTGTTCGAGGTAGACAATGAACTAATATACGAAATTTCGACAGCTTGGCAACTAGTATGTCCGTCTGTCAGCGTTAACTTTAACATGCGAGGAGCTGCGCTCGAGTTTTCTTTGTTTTTGGGGGCGGAGACGTTTTTGATTTTTTGTATCTGCAACACCAGCTGAAAGCAGTGCTTGTAAATATTGGGTAAACATATTCTAGTGTTGTTACCGTCCCTGTCTTAGTTTGTTTCATTTCCTGCACCAAGGTTGGATTTCCGAAATCTCTTATATCAGTCTGAAAAACAAGAAATTATCGAACGCCGTTTATGAGTTCCAATTACGTTTAGGGCGTTGGTGATTGTCGCACTATTGCTAAGAGTTCTATTCGCAGAAATAACATCGTATCCCGTGGGCGAAATGTGCCTGGAAAAGTCAAAGATTTAGATACCTCCCTGAATGTTGTCAGGAGGTACAACCATCCCAAATTGGAGAGTTGCTCTAAAGATCCCATCTTCAGCTACCGAAACTTTCGAAAATACGTTAATAATTATGGCTACAGCTACATTTATAAATAAAATAACCTCAAATTGGCATGCAATGCGAAACGATCTACTGCTACGTCAAAAATCCCCAGCTGACGGTTGAGTACGTTAGAACTACTATACGGACACTTGAACTACCACATAATTTTCAAAATTACCATTTTTGATCAGTACAAAACTAATAAGTTTCAAAAAACGAGGATGAAATGAATTTAGTTTTGGGATAGTAAATCGGACCCCTCCATCTTTCGATAGCAATAAAGGACATGTCCAAGTGAAAACTTCTGATCGTCGTAGATTCCACTTGATCGAAGGATTTTTCATGATATGCGAGCTATACCTTCTTGGCCCGATCTCAAAGGGTGGAAAGTGAATACAATCCCTTAATATGATTATACAATATACAGAGCGACCAAAAATGATTGAAACCAGTATCAATATTGCTATAGTGTGTCCAAGAATGAACAGCATGGAAAAATCGGAAACCATAAGAGATACCTACACAGTCGGTTAAATTTAAAAAAAGTTGCGTATTTTAGGGCTTAGTAAAACGATGTTTTAAAAATGCGGAATTCCGATCAGTTCCGAAGAATTTAAAAAACACCGAAATTAACCATATTCGCTTTTTTTTCTGGTCTTCTTTGAACCTCTACAAGATGGTGCCCCCCTATGAAGAAAGCAATTGTTGAAACTGAACTGAAGTAGAAGATGACAGGCAATAAAATAAAGAAAAGATGGAAAATGGCATGACTTTAAATAGCAAATTTAAAGTTAACAACAAAATATGTGAACATTAGTGAATCGTCACTCATATGGAAGAGCACAGCGAAAGCAAGTAATTGCTCCCAGTGAACTGTGCCTTTAGCATGTACATTTGATATTCAATTATGCTGTAGTCTCTTCTTTTGTATTGCAGTGGCGTACGTAGAAATTTATTCTGGGGGGGGGGGGGATTAAACAAGTTCGTGGCACATACAGTCACCCAGTGCGTACTAGAAAGGGGGGGGGGAGGAAGAAATAGAAATTGGGTTGCAGGTTGGTGATGCTGGTAGTCATTTATCTATTTATTATTGTACAGGCGAAAAAGATTAGATTAGAACGGTATTTTATTTCTTACTGCTGACAGGCCTCTTTATTGCTTTTGCTTTAATTAAGTCAACGAAAACTTTGAATAATAGGTATATTTAGAGCAAAAAACCAATTTCGGCAAAAAATTCAAAGGGCTGTAACTTTTGATCTAGTAGTCCGATCTTGGAACTGTTTGGAATTATGGATTCTACAGGCCACATTCTATAAGAAAATATTTTTTTCCGGTCGATCTGAGACAATTTTTTTTTCTGGGCAAAAAAAAGGCAGTTATTACCTTCCTTTTTTACCAAAAACCGACTGCACCAAAATTTTTCGGGAAAAAACTTTTTCTTATTAATTTGGGTGCGTAGAATCCAAAACGATTCGTACTTTTTCGATTAGACATCTCAATCAAAAGTTATGGGCAAAAAAAATCCCGTTTTTAAAATTCTTATTTTCGTCATTTCGTGAAAGGCAGGACGCAGGTACCTCACCTCAGTAGCAGTACTAAGTACCTGATACCTATTTGTTATTTTGGGCATCAATGTAGCGAATTGCCGATCGATACCGAATAGCCAAATCGTTGACTGCCAACACTGATCACTCACTGAATAGTGAATACTACAGAATATTTAGATTTTAGTGACTTTAGACTTTAACCAAAACCAAAATTGCTCTCTATATATACCTATATATTATTGCCTTTATTTTAAAGTGGGCGGAGCGGATAGCGGAGTATTACCTAAATACCTAATAGCTATGATGATAACTCAATTCTTCTGGGGGGGATATATCCCCTTCATCCCCCCCGTATATACGCCACTGTTGTACTGTAGTTATTTTATGTTCATGCTAATGAAGACATTATTATTATTATTATATCGCACAGATTTTAAACGTAAGAATTTTCGTTAGCAGAGTTCCACCCCTGAAACGGGCAACTCGGTTGAGATTCGAGATCCGTCCCGGCATTAGGTGCTGTAACTAATGCGGTTACAGTTATTTGCCACCCTTATGACTATCTCACTGTCCACTGGCAGAATCGCACAGTTAAACGCAGGTGGCTGGATTTTGATCGCGGCAGTGAGTTTTGAACCACGTACAAATAATGTAGTCATATTTAAAAATGGAAATCAAATTCTCTTAATTCTACGTTCTACTTTTTTCTATTAAAGTGACGCGCTATTACTCAACCATACTACATTGCATACAAAACACAAATAAATTATAACGAAATGCATAGATTACTACCTGCGTTAAATGACACCAACGTAAACTAAACGATGCTCTCCGTTCGTCTGCTTCAAACAATATGCTTGTAACGTAAGAAAGCGTTCGTGCTCGAGACGGCGCCGGCGCAGACAGCTTTCAAAAAGTTGCACGGTTGCCAGCTCTCAACAATGTGTGCATCGTCGTGTAGGTTGGATATACAGGGTGGAACCCTTCCACTGGGAAGAATATTAAATACGACAAACGATAAAAAACGCCTTTATAGATATGTTAAAGAGACTTTTAAAGCCAACGCCTTGTTTATACAGGGTGGTGACTTGTAAAATTCATAACATGCGATTATTGACTCCCCAAATTATTTTAGAGCAAAAATGTATTAAAAGTATTTTTGTTTGGTTTTTTGTAGAAAAAATTTGTTACGCCCATCAACCGTATTAGTTTTCAATTTTTTTGATATAAAGACGGAAAATTGGAAAAATAAAACCAGCATCTTTTTCAATAATCTGCGCTGCTATAAACAACCACTAATTCAAAAGTGATCAACACAGAAAATAAGTCTCTTACGCTCCTCAAACTGTTACCGGCACTATACCAATTGACAATATCTTTTTCTTCATTGGAACATCGCACGGGAACGAAAATAAAAATAAGGAAGCCGTAGCAATAATATTCCAATTAATTAATATGACAACCAGTTCATTTGTTTTAAGATGTTAGTTTGGTTGCATAAAATTAGGCGCCTTTCAGAAGAGTTTTTGTCATTTACAAAGTAGACATAGGGAAAACCATACGCACAAATCCCTACTACTACTAAATGAATATCATTGTGTAAGAGTTCACAACTCTTTCTAAGATTTATCAAGAACTCCAAAACTTTAAGGGGGTTGAGGGTGATATTTTATAAACGATCGACTAACCATTCGGCTACCTCGTGTTTCCAAATAGCATAATATGTAATATGAGTGTTTTGCTATTTCATTCGCGAGGGATTACTATATGGACCTACTGCGTCTTTTGCACATTTTGATACTCATTTAGGTAATGTCAATTATTGTCCATTTTTATGCGGGATTTTCTGTGATCTCACGTAAAATAAACGAGACCATTCATGTCCTGCATCATATCCGCGTGTTTTATGTATTTATGATGTATTGACCGTTACGGCACATTACTGTGGTCAAGTAACTTTGGTTTGTTAGTTTTGTTTTAATTGGGTTGATGTCGACATTGAAGCCACCTCCGCTTTTGTTATTACATAACTTCAGAATGAAAATCGTACACAGTGGGGCCATTGAGGGGACCGGTTCCAAGAGCTAAACAAAACGGCGACCGACTAAGAAACCCCGTATCCAACTCAAATTATTAATTAAACAAGTTCCTAACGCGAGTAGGTCATTAATTATAGCAAATGGACCTTTCCCTCGAGCGAGCGAGCGTACGCACACCCGGATGTACGTACTAAACGCCCGATGAAAAATCGCTAAAATACTTTAGTTAAATTAGAATTTATTTTTAGAGAAAGTGTTGTGCGTTCGGGCACGGCAGGCGAAAAAAGTATTTTCGCGGGAGTACGAACTGTTGCCCGCGCGGAATCAATGGAGGCGCAACTGTAATAATAATGATGTGCTGCAGGATGGTTTATGTTGAGCAGTTCCAAGGAGAAAGGGAGTGACGGCGGCGCAATTTCGACAACAACAATTTCGTACGTACGAAAAAGTTTTTAATCAGTTTAGCTGGCACGGAGAATAAAACGTTGGTGAGTGTTCTTTAAATTTTACGAATAAAAGGTCGCGCGCGCGTTTATCGCTTTTAGCAAAAGACGCGCGATACGCCCAGTTTTTAATTTTTTTGATTAAACGCGGAACGTTGATAATTTAGGCCAGGCGAACCGAGTCGTGACTGTGTTAGATTATTAGGTCATATCTAAGTTTGTCTTTCCATCATGCATCGGAATCTCTGCTAAAATAATCGTAGAATAAAAATAAACTAAATTCAAGGCTGGTTGGCGCTTAAATGGAACAGAGAAAGTTTCTAGTTTAAAGGCGGTTGTTGTTGAAACTAGTTGAAGCGTTTTATTGTAAGTTGTTTAACGCACAGTGCGTGCTAGCGTGCAGAGTATGCGATGAGTAACAACTTGTTACCTTGGGATGAATAACATAACAATAAATAATTTGATTATATAATTGTGATGGAGTTAATTAATTCTCTCCTTTTCAGTAAACAATGGGTTTCGGGCGTTATATGGACAGTTGCGGTGCGTGTATGAAATACACACTATTCTTTATAAATCTCCTCACGTTTGTGAGTGCTTTAATTTCTATTCGGCGAGTTTCACATTTCACATTTTAGCTTGGAGGATTGGCAATCGCAGGACTTGGCATTTATATGATAGTAGACAAAACATTTACCATTAAAGTGCTAGGGGCGAGTTTATACACGGGTGCCATATACGTACTTATCGCCACTGGAATACTAGTCGCGCTAATCTCGTGTTTCGGATGTTTCGGAGCTGCCCAAGAAGTGAGATGTATGCTCGTTACGGTAACGACCTTCTCGATTGAAACTCCCCCGATGCAACCCTGTAATTTTTTTAGTACTTCATTATAATATTCCTAATATTCGTAACGATGCTTGTTGGTGGTATCTTGGGTTACGTATTCCGAGATAAAGTGGAGACCTCGTTACGTATAACACTCGAGAGTGAACTTCACAGTTATAACATAAGCGAAGATGCGAGGAAAAAATGGGACGATATGCAGAACGGATTTGGATGCTGCGGTATAGACACCTTCCGTGATTGGAAAGGAGTTCTTCCGGACTCGTGTTGTAAATCTCCACACCCCGGCTTACCGTACCCATGTCGCGAGCACGACTCCAATCGGTTCGCAGAAGGCTGTCTCACCTTCTTCACTCATTTAGTGTCCAAAAATGCGGCGATCATCGGCGGCGTCGGTATTGCTCTAGCTTGTGTCATGGTAAATATCACGCTAAAAAAATGATCCGATAACTAATACGATTTATTGCAGCTACTCGAAATGATATTTGCCTGCGCTTTGGCAAATATGATTGAATAGTTCTAATAACACCATTATATTATTGTTAATTTTTTCTAACACGATTTTTATGTTTAATGTATATAAGAAGTGATAATAATAGATTTAATTTGCTTTAAAATTAAATTTGCTTTTGTGACCATTTTTTACTTACTGTATAGTTTATTTTGTTATAATAAAATAAAACGTTATGTGCCAATTGTTATATATTAAATTAACGCCTCCCAATTTAGTGAAGTCATACACCAGAGAATGCAATGAAAATTATAGCATAATGATAGCATCCTTTATTTTTATGTTTCAAATCTAAAGGATTCCATTACTACTTACTAGTTCGGTTGATGAATCCACGGTGTTTTCCATTATTTTAAAAATCAAATCGAAAGCAGTACGTTTATACACGGTGTCCATTTTTCGAGTGCCACTTATCTTAAGAGATAGAAAGTTGGTTAAATGGGGGCAAAGTTGCCAATTTTCGTGCTGAATAAGAATCTGAAAAGAAATTTGAAATATCTTCAATAGTTTTGAAGATATCGCAAAAAAAACGACAATTTCTGATTTTCGTTTTTAATTTTTTTATGATAAACTAATCGTAGTAGACATTTCTAATTAACACATTAGACCTTGGTAAAAAAGGAAGGTGAAACACTGTCTTTTTTTGAGGCACGAAAAAAAAATTGTCTCAGATCGACCCGGAAACAAAATTTTCTTATAGAATGGGGCCTGTAGAATCCATAATTTCAAACAGTTCCATGATTGGGCTACTAGTTCAAAAGTTACACCCCTTAGAATTTTCTTTCGAAATTGGTTTCTAGTCTATAACTTTTGATTGAGAAGTCTAATCGAAAAAGTACAAATTGTTTTGGATTCTACGCCCCAACATTAATAAGAAAAAGTGTTTTCCCGAGAAATTTTGGTGTAGTCGATTTTTGGTAAAAAACAGGCATTAGACGGACACTTTTTAATGGAAATGGCATCCTGTTTTTAATAACTTTCAATATAACGGAGAAACAGGTGGCAACGTTAGTTTTTCTTATGAGCGCCATTTTGAATTTTCACATTTTGAGATTACGTCTTTTTTGTCTTTACAACGATATATCACACACATGGTGATTCAGTATCATTTTTATTCATTATTTTTCCTAAAAATACAATTTTTAATTTTTTGAGAAGAGTGCTTCTCTGGCAATGCTGCAATGGATCAAACTGTCAAACTTTTGTTTACAACAAAAGAACGTTTTGTTTTTCCAAAGCACTCTTCTCAAAAAATTAAAAATTGTATTTTTAGAAAAAATGTAATACTGAACCACCATGTGCGATATACCTATCGTTGTAAAGAGAAAAAAAGACGTAATCCCAAAATGTCAAAATTCAATATGGCGCCCATAAGAAAAACTAAAGTTGCCACGTGTTTCTCCATCATCTTGAAAGTAATTAAAAACAAGATGCCATATTTGAAATCTCCAATAAAAATCAGAAATTTTTGGTTTTTTTGCGATATCTTTTAAACTATTGAAGATATTTCAAATTTCTTTTCAGATTTTTATTCAGCACGGAAATTTGCAACTTTGCCCCAATTTAACCAACTTTCTATCTCTTAAGATAAGTGAGATGCCCATAGTGGCACTCGAAAAATGGACACCGTGTATATCCCGTTTATCCATTACAAAAAACAAGTAAAAAGGTTTTCGTCCTAAGGCGAGTAACTTCAGCGCATTTTCCATGAATGATCAGTACTTCCCAAAAGGCCATAGCTATGTGCGCTGTGATTTTCTTTACTAGAGGCATCTATATGGTTAAAATTTCAAAGAATATCTCCATAAACAAAAAAGTTGGCATTTTACAGTCTGCGCATGCGTGGATTTGATGTTTACTACGTGCGATATGTTTGCTTTTCCTAATGACATTTGTAGTTTTCGATTTTTACTACATGTGATATGTTTTTCTTTACTAGAAGCATCTATGGTAAAAATTTCAAAGAAATATCTGGATAAATAAAGGAGTTGGCACTGACTGCGCATGCGCACATCTAATTTTTGCAATATCAGTTATTTTTCCTTTAACAGAAGCGTCTGATGTGGTTAAAATTTCAAAAAGATATCTCGATAAATAACATTAATGTGATGTTTACAATATGCGATACGTTTGCTTACACTAAAAGCAACTTTGGTTAAAATTTCAAAGAAATATCTCCATAAATAAGAAAGTTGCATTGCGCAGTTTAATTGTCAAGGACTCGGACAGACGGACGGACAGAGAAAGTGGCTGCAATAGCGCACCCAACCTCGTTAGAAAATGCGTTAACGATTTAAGACCCATCTGCGTTCTTCCTACCCTATCTAAAGTTTGAAAAAAATTAATGGAACAACTTAGAGCTAGTTTCCAATCCCAACAGTTCTCTACAGTCTGGATCTAGGCAGAGTTACAGTTCCAGTTCAGCCCTATACTTAGCGTTTCTGATGATACATGTGCCAGCGATCAGGGGTTGAGTTCTGTTCTGTTTGAACATTTTCGACACGCCAAGTCATGAGTTATTATTGGGTATTTTACACTAAGTTGGATTAGCGACTCTTACTAGTGGATACCAGGCCGTGTTGTACACGATGATAATGTGTCAGAGTTCTGTCAGGCGGCAACTGGTGTACCACAAGGCTATATTCTTGGACCATTATTACTTTTAATATATACATCTCATTCTCTTGTATTTGTTATCACTAGGGAGATGATACTCAAACTTTGATCCAAGGCTAATGCCGCCGTCAACTATGACCTTTCAGAAACTTATCAGACTTCGTTCGATCATGGACTAGTCATAAATCCGAGTAAATCAGCAGCAATTGTTTTTGGAATATAATACTATTCAAGAATAAGTTAAAAATTCATTCGATTAATTTTTGGAATTAAAAAGTATGAACGGGTGCGTTATATGTAAGTTAAGAGAACTGAACTGAAGGAATACTAGTTCAGTGTTAGAACTGGCCGAATCTAAGGTTAAGTGGTAGAACAGCCATTGAACTTCGCTCTAAAATCAATCCTTCTGTTAATGCGAATACACAACACGCAATAAAGATCATATTATTATTATTATAAATTTGGAAGATTACTGTGTAAAGTACAGAAATAGTAGCCCATTAGACCAGATAAAATTTTGATCTTCCGAAAATGTTTAAAGCAAAAAAAGTGACTTAAAACTATACGCTCATTAATTTCCAACGCCCTACATATGTGCAGGTACGAGGGTGAGAATCCTCCGCCTTCCCCTTCCACCTTTAACCCATAGGAGATGGGTATTTTTTCCTATCTATCATGTTGCAGACTGTCGTGCAAGAATGTTTATTGTAGTTGCTCACCGGGTTCCATAGGCTCAAAATAGGCAACCATAACATGCCCTTTCCGGTTTTGTGACAATTTTATTTACTGAAATAAACCCTGAACAAGAATGCGAAAATTGTATTTGGGAATCGAAAGAGCCCTTGGTTTTTGAAAATGTAAAAAAAATCTTTCTAGTCTTCTTTAACAGTTTCGGATTTATTCCCATTTCATTGAATTGATTTTTTCGCATTTTCTTTTTAGTAGTTGGCCATGAATTCAATTGTTATAAAATCATGGCCAACTACTAAAAAGAAAATCCGAAAAAAATAGTGCCAATTCAATAAAATAGGGAATAAGTCAGAAACTGTTAAAGATAGCTATATGAACATGTCGAGGAACATGTATTGCCAAAATATGCGCATTTCGATTCTTTATCTCATGCAATAGTCGGAAAATGGTCATTCCATTAAAAGTTTTTAGTCTTCTAAGTTTCATAAATTTGGATCTCCATAGGGGCGGTCGTAGGCAACTTAATTGTTGTTTAAGTGCACTCAAAGAAAGCCCTATTCATTATCTATGCACTGATTAAAATAGGTTGCCATGACTACAACAGTTTTCAAGTAATCAATTATCAAGGTACCATCTGCATCCGCCATTTTTTTTCTTAAAGTCAAAATAACTTAAAAACCATAAATGGCAGATATCGACATATGGGTATCAAAAGAACTGAAATTTCACGTAGAATCCAAAAATGCAATAAAAAATAGGGGTTGCCATTTAAAATAACGAAGTTACTATCTACTTCCGGTGTTTCCGGAAGTGCGGCCATTTTGAAAATATTTTACATCGATTCGGCCTTCAGAGTAACTCCTAAGTACAAATTTTCAAAAACCTACCTATTTTACGTTCCCAGAAACTTTTAACTAAAGCTCCCAAAAAAACACCCTGTATTTGACGCACGTATTTCAGTGAAAAATGAAGTTGGCATACGCTAAAATGAAGTTTCAACTTTCATTCGGCGAAGATGAATGCAATATTAGAAGGTGCCTCGTACGATTCAGTAGCCTCAGTCATATTCCCAAGAAATATATACCAAAGGCGAACTGCCCCACTACGCGGGGCGGAATGTAATCGGGAAGTGACACCGGTCAGCTTTTTTTTATGCCTGATTTCAGTGATGCTCCTAGTAAATTGGTCTTCATTACGGGTCAATTAACTAAAATATATTTTAGAGTACAGGGATAGGCGTAACTGCCGCTATGCTATGGGGCCTTGCGGTCAAAATTCCTTACGCACCGATCACCCGAGCGTACTTGACCATCGTTAGCGACGTTCTCAATTTCGGCGCGGGCTTGCTCAGTATTCCGTGCTTTTGGATTACTTATACATTGCACGGCTCGAATACGAGTAAAGCATTTTTGCCTTTAGTACGTATGGCTAGTGTGTCAACGAGGTCTAACTGCAGAATTGATTGGAAGGTCACGTCATTGGTCAACAGGGGTTAATACGCTAATAATGAAAGTCTCGTCCGCGAATAATTTCGAGGAACTATCCTTATCAAAACTGACCAGGAAGGTGCTGTCGCTTACCACACAAACTTGCCTTCCTGTTTTAGATAAATTGATAAGAAATGCGATACGACAGTTTTAGTGGGAAGTACTATTGATTGACTGAATAACTCAAAAAGCGCGATGTCACGCCCCACCCCCATGCCAAAACGCACCACTGCAACCAATCTCATTCAACATGCACCCGATGACCCACGCCAATTATGTTAAATAGCACGCGACCATGACCAATTCTAAATTTAATTGTGACGCCCACTACCTTTTCTAGGTAATTGCTTTATTTGGACTGTGCATAGTAATCCTGCTAGTAAGCGAGGGCATCAACTATGCCTATAAATTTGAGCCCGAATCGCAAACTCTAAACAGAACCCTACTTCAATCAATGCCCCTCTACACACGAAATATGCAGGTATTCAAGACATGGAACATGATACACAAACATCTGAGCTGCTGTGGAAGCACCTCGTATAAAGAGTGGGTGGGTTTACTTAAAACAATACCTAAATCCTGTTGCCTCCAAGTACGTACGTATCTTAATGGTCCCTTTCTAAACGAACGCTCTGTAGAATAGCTGTGACGACGGGAAAATGTATACTCAAGGCTGCGCTCATAAAATCGCCTTAGATATGATGAGGAGTCGTTCACTTTCGCTCGGTCTGACCGGAATATTAACTCTCGTTCACGTACGTGCCACAGCACTCAGCGGCTACGGCTATTTACAGCAATTTTCCAGATCGCTGGCCTGTGCATCACGTTCGTAATCTACATCGCCAGTAGCTAATATTCTTCAATGTAAAGAAAAATATTTATTACTCTCAAATAATATATCATACAAGCTGAAAACAAAAAAAAACAACAGTACATTATTTTTCTTCAATTACAGAAGAACTTTTCACTGACTATTGGAAGAAAGTTAAATATTCTGTAAATATCACAGATTCTTTTGGAAAGATGATTATACAGAGTGTCGAGTTTATAAATGATTACATGGGCATATTGACGGTAACCAAGTTTGAAACATGGCCATAAGGTCACACACCAGATTGATTTGTTTCAAGGAATGGAGGATTGAGGTACTTCTCTGCTACTTCAATGGCACAGTGACAATGTCTCATACAGGGTGTCAATTTTAAAACTTGAAGTCGGCCCTATTTTCCAAACTAAAGAATATTGAAAAAAAAATCCAGCCCCCCCCTCTTCAAAAATCCTAAATGGCAAACCCATACGTGTGACACATCGTTGCAAAGCTACTGAAAAATGCTTTCCAGTGGTACCAACAAAGTCAATATTCATTAAAGACAATTTAACAAAAATTTAATAATTACCTAACAAAAAAAAAACAAATGTTGACATTGAGGGATTTATGGCAAATTGGCCAAGAACTTCAACCTGAGCTGCTTCATTAAGCAATCTTGGTTGCTTTCTTTTTTTATTGATAACAGATCCCGTTTCTTCGAATTTAGCGACCAAATCTTGAACATAGGCATGGCTTAATTTTTATTTTTTTTTGTTAATTATTAAATTTTTGTTTCAGTAGCTTTCCAACGATGTGTCACAAGTATAGGGTTGCCATTTAGGATTTTTGAAGAGGGGGGCTGGGGGTTAAAGGGGAGTGTGGGGGGGGGGTTGTGACTCGTAACGTAATTCTGGTTACCCCTCGATACCCCCGACACGGTTTTGCGCAATTTTCAGTATCTTCTTTAGTTTGGAAAATATGGCCGATGCAAGTTTTAAAATTGACACCCTGTATAATGATGATGCTTACCATGGGTCAATCCATTAGGACAGGTTTGATTGGGATAGTCGTCACATTGAAGCAGACTTTCAATGCTCTACAAAATTATTTATAAATTAAAAAATAGAGCAATGTGGTAACGCGCCACCATTTCGTGGGTTGCAACCAGACTGCCATATGCAAGATTTTTTCCAGGGCCCGGTTACGACCAAACCAATGCAAAAAATATACAGGCTGTAACATTTAAAATCCGCTTTTAAGATATACTTCAAAATATTAACCTGGAAAAAGGATAAACCTCTATAAATTGAAATATGACCTTGCTTGCACTTTATTTATAAGATGGAAAATGTTTTAGGGGAGATTTTGGTACATTTGATATCCTTCTATAACTCCAGTGCAAAAAACGGTGTACAATTAACACACAATAATAATATTGAAGTATGGTGATATTTTCGTGTGGCAAAACATTGTTAGAAAGTTTCTGAACGCTCTCCTATTACATCAATAATATACAGGGTGGTCCAAATTTGTGGCTCACCATTGGGATTTTCGTAACTCGAGATATCACCGAAATAAAAATGTCAAATTTTATTTTTCTAACAATAGCATTGGAGATTAGGCTATTCATTGTTATCTGTAATGAAATTTACCTCTTTGGGCTTTGTCCGGCGTCATTAACACCTTCTTATAATTGGCTAATAATGTAATTTAATTAAATCTGACGTGCATACCAACATAGTTTTTCTTGACCTATCGAAAGAAAATATTATCACGATCGTTTCACTTCTATCGCATGTCGATAGCAACTTCTTATTTTAAATAGAACACCCTGTATTTTCGAAATCTACATGAAAATCTACGCCGTTTGATACCAATTTCCCTATACCCAGCATCAAAGGTTTTCAAGTTATTCGAGCTTTTGAAAATTGTTGATGTTTGACTGATATCCTTTTGAGTCCTGTATCTATGACTCCGTCGACTGGAATTTCAAACAGTATTCCAAAATCGACAGTACTCACTTGATGTTGCGTGACAATGATTTAAATTTTGATCGCCCTGGGTGTTTTAAAACTAACGGTCAACTTTATGTAACTTCAAACCTTAAAAAGTTGATTTTTTCAAATCTGTTATGCTTTCCGTTTTATTATAGATTTTCTAAAATTGTGACCGTTATGCATAATTTTCTTAGGAGGCCTTGAAATAAATGCGTTAGTAGATTATTAGCATTTGAGAATTTACATGAAGAAAACAACTGGTTTCAACATGACGGAGCGCCGGCTCATTCTATCTATGATTTGATCATGTTTTGAAAAAAACGGTGGCCACGTAGAACAAAACCTCAATTGATGTTTTTTTTTATATTGTCGTTTGTTATTATTACCTGTTTCTGTTTATGTCTTCTTTATTTAACTTTTTATTCATCTACCATCACACTCAACTATAACTATAAAAAGGTCTGACAAGTCTTCTAACGTTATTTCAAAGCTTCCTAAGAAAATTATGTATAAGGGTCACAATTTTAGAAAATCCAAAATAAAATGGAACGCATAACAGATAGGTAAACGGAATGTAATACTACATTGATGTAGAATTTTTTTCGATATTTGCAAAAAATAAAGCATGTATCATGGATGTATTAATAAAGTTGACCATTAGTTTTAAAACATCCTGTAAAAGAGCGATCAAAATTTAAATCATTGTCACGTAAAATCAAGTCAGTACTGTCGATTTTTGAATTTTGAAAAATCTTGAAAACCTTTGATGCTGGGTATAGGGAAATGTGGTATCAAACGACGTAGATTTCGAAAATGTAATAAAATACAGGGTGTTCTATTTAAAATAAGAAAGTTGCTATTGACATCAGGTAGAACCAAATCATGATAATATTTTCTTTTGATAGATCATAAAAAACTATGTTGGTAAGTAAATTTTCAGATTTAAATCATTAATGAAAACCTAAATACTGCTAGGTAACGGTCATGGTATTTGTCTATGACTAGTATAGATATTTCAAAATAAATCCAGCTCAACAAATGTCGAGTTAGAAAGACAGTTAAATTACCAAAATTGTGTACTTTTGTCTATTGAATCCAAATAACAAAAACAATGCATTTTTCAGATAACAAAAATGTAACTTCTTCATATGGAACACCCTGTATATTACTGCATAATGTGACAGCCTATTAAATTCCTTACAAAAGTTCTTAATCCACCATACCCATAACCAAGATATTTCAATTATTTTCATTTCGATGTAGTTAGCCATGAAAATAATAAAAATGCAATGAAGTTAATGCAACCCTAACTGTACTTGTAGTGACAAAACTGACATCAGCAATATTATGTTTGCACTTGTTCATAAAGTCTGTAATTTCCAATAATGGCCCACCACTTTGCAAAACATGATTTGCCCCCTGTGTCCCACAAATGTAACTTATTTTTTCCAATACCCTCTATACAATGCCATTCGGTAATAAGTAGCTCATAATGGACCTTTAATTATTATTACGTGAACAGTAGAACTCGCTCATTTTGCGCTTAACGACCCGTAATAAACCAAATTGTACCATTACAAATCATCAACTTGGAACCCTCCTGAAGGTCATGCATTCTTTGTTTTTTAAACAAAAGTACTCCATTGTTGGCAAAATTTAGAATTGGTGTATAAAAATAGCCTGTATATTTACCGGCCTACTGTTTTATACAAATCATAAATATCAAAACCGCTCTCTGTAACGGCCTATACATCTTTTATTTCGTGATCTAAAACAATCCGATGATCCCAAAGATATGATTAGAAGAAAATTGTGCGGCACTTTTGCAAACTTGTGGCTACAGCACCCGTTATCTTAGTGATCCTTGGATCACTAAAAATGTAATACCTTGTATACTACAATGTGAAGCTACGATTATTTTGCAAACTGATCAAAAATAGTTCAGTTAAGAATATTAAGAACTATATAGAGTATATACAGGGTGGGCCATTACATTAGTGTGTGGGTGGAAGATTGCGGGTTTATTAACGCCCATATTTAAAATTTATTGCTGAGGCATGTTGAAGGACTCTTAAGGGTACAACCTAAAAATATTTTCAACGAAATTGCAATTGTTATACAGGGTGATTTATATCAAAATGGAACCCCCTGTATATTATTACATATTTCGAACTACCAAATTTTTTTTATCGCATCAAATGTAGGATTTTATTTTATTTTACGACTCATTTTAGATATCATGTGTTATACATAGTCACACTAAAATTGACCAAGCAATCGAAATATGTAATAATATATAGGGCGTTCTATTTAAAGAAATACAACTTTGATATAAATCACTCTGTATACCAATTACAATTTCGGGGAACATTTTTTTAGGTTGTAGCCTTAAGGGTCCCTCAACATGCCCTACAATGAATTTTAAATATGCGCGTTAATAAACCTACAATCTTCCACCCACACACTAATGGCCCACCCTGTATATGATGGTCTACTAAAGGTAATGCAACTTGTGTGACTGTTAAATTGTTGATTATGATCGTTTTACAAGCAATCATGCCAAAGTTATAATGATACCTACTTTTGGTACACATTTCCTCACATAATCATACATTGTTCGTCCTACATATTTCTCTCTAAAGATTTTAAAATGCCCTACAGCCAACACATCATGTTTGGTTTGTCGCACGACGGACTTAGAAACAAAATATGCATTGAATTGTTCAAAAGAAATGTAAGATTAATTCTAAATGTTAGAATAATCTTAAAAGTGGAATGTCTCAGATTCTAGCCTCAGTAAGGGGATTGTTTTTAAATAAAAAGATAATTTCAGTCTCTTATCAGGTATAAAAGGTCAAACTAGGATTCTATGACATTGAACGTTGCACAGCTCTATGCCTTATGTTAGTAGGACGTTATTCTCTGCCATGTGTTGGATAGTAGTAATTAACAATCAATGACATTGACCATTAACTTCAAAAAGCGGTAAAGATGGAGCCTGCACTAGCCTGACAATTTTTAATGGAAGGCTCTATATAATTAAATGTTCCAACACGATTCAATCATTAGCAAATACTGTGCATTTATAATACAATTACAGCTTTACAAAAAGAAAGTATAATCGAAAATATTTGTGCTACATTCTCTTGTGCCGTGTTCCAACAACATCCCCATCTAAATCCCTTCAAACAGGACACCCTGTATGCTCACCATATTAAATTGAATGTCCCGTAATGGTCTATCATAAATACCTTAACACCTGTCACTATTAAATACAACGCTTGCAATACTTAACGAACATAAGCATACCGAGATAATGCCTAACAAAATATACACCGACGTTATCAGCCAGAATGCGAATAAATATAAACTCTTATTACAAAACCTACCGTCGAACGCATTTGGATCATAATTTGGCTCGAACTCCTTGTAAACCCACACGGAACCTGAAAAAAGAAAGTCGCTCGCAATTGATTAGCTATCGTCATTGAATAAGGAACCTGCATCTTATTCAATGCGGTTAAGTTTACCGATAATGAACCAGCCCAGCATGAAACAGTTGAGGAAGGTTTGCATTGGAGATTGTCGTAGCTGTTCTTCTTCCCTCTCCGTGTTGGTTTGGCGAACCCGAGACGATAGATGAAGTAACTGTTTTAAAATGCCGAAAATACCTACAACATCAACTTTCAGCGACATTAACACGGTTCTCAACTTACCTCCGACAAGTAAATATATCGGTATGTACTCCCCTTGCGGACATTCGTAAAGGTAGATTGATCCCATAACAATCATGCATATTGGAATGACAATAGTAACGCCTAATATTATCGTGCACCCAACTGCGAAAATATACACATAAAGTAGCCATCAGCACAACAAGAAAACCTACTCGTTCCTAACAGTATAATTAAAATATTCTTAAGAAACTCAAAGACGCCTTTACTAGTCCTTTGCGCTTCTCTCACCCTTCCGAACAACGAGTCGTACGACGGAGGAGGTGCTAAAAGTAAGCGTAAAAGACAATCCAAGTTAAACTTGTTCTACCGTTAGGATCGATGGCCTCCTCGTAAGTCGGAGGTTCGCCTCTTTCGTTGGAAGGTAAGTCGGTATTAAAAAAGTTATGGTGAAAAGGGGGTGCACCGTTTGGTGGGTTCTCTCCGCCAGACATCTGGACGGATATGTTTCATTAACATTCACAATGTTTGTTCTCAATTAAGCGTAATGTATTTTATGAAATGTGAGAATAACGCTTCTTGAATTTGTTATAAACAAAAATGGCATAATTCTGTTTAAAATGAAAATCAATATCTTCTTTTGACTTTTATACTAATGTTGAGGTTATGTTCTTCGAGAAAGGCGCCGACATCTACCGGCGAAATGTCAAGGAGAAAATGTACGATGTATAGGATGTAACAAAAGTTATGATTTGAACTTGGAATAAAACCGCAATTATCGTTGGAGTAAAAGCACTCATTGTTTGTTTTTGAAAATGTAATATAATTTATTTAATGAAATAGTTTATTTATTAGTTTCATTTTCTCTTGTATTTATTTATTTATCCTATGTAAAGTACCGATTCTTGCAATAGAAATAGTCTTTGTATAAATGTGTTACCCCAGCAATAATCCCATGTTACATGGCAATCAATATATATTTATTTTTATTAATTTACACAAAAAAAACGAATTTTGAACGCCCACCTATTCATAAATTTGCCCAGTTTTGCATGATCAATAAATTTAAGGAAAGGTTTGCATTAAAATAATCAATAAAATTTGTCACCCTTAGCTTATTCAAATGGACGTCTTAATGATAGATTTAATAATGTACATTAACATTTATTATTATTTACTGTACGCTACATGGAGTGTAACAATACAATCTGTGAAATACGGAGGAATGATTAAAACGCCAAAAAGCACAATCGACATATACGTACAGCTCGCAATAATACTTTCCGAATTGATAAAGTTGACGGTTTACCATTTTTTAAGAGAACGTGCCAAAGGTAAAATGAGCGCATCATGTACCTACACTACCAACTGTGATTGTAGGCATTTCGATTTTAATTGCTGTACTGCTAGGGATGATTTCGATTAGCGGGTTACACCACGTATTTTTCATACAAGAATCCGTTTTGAAGTTAGAAGTACTTTTAGACGTTATGCTCGGATTAATGTTGATAGGCGAAGTGATTTTTGGAGGCGTAGCATTAGTGCCGTGTATGAAAAAGTCAAGGGAAGGATAAGGATTTTATTAATCCGAAATTACACCGGGTTTAAACAAAACAAATTATCTCGTGTTGCTCCAATGATTTAGTTGGAATGAAGCGTGTAAATAAAATTGTCTAACTAAACGTACATCCCATACATTCTTAAATATTAATTACTGCATTAGATTTGTGAATAAAGGAGGAGGTGCGGAGAGTTTTGTTAAACCTTTTGTTATACGCATTTAAAGTATCACATAAATACTGCTACAGGGAAAAATAGAAAAAATATGCGCGCAATTCCAAAAAGTATACAAAACTCGCGAAATTTAATAAATAATTAATTTACGACGCCGACCACTCCATATTTTCCTCTTGTGTGCTATTTTGTGTGGGTTGCTCGTGATTTGCATTACTGTGATGTTTTTGTTCCTTATCGACACCGTCAGTATTGTTCTCTTTCGATTCTTTAGGTGGAGATTCCGGTTTCGGCACTGGTTTATTTACAATCGGCGAGACAGTGTTTTCGAAATTCGAGCGCTCTTGCCTTATTTGCGCAACTGTAATCGGAGGAGGTAAGAATTTCGGGGTACCGTTTAATTGCGTCCGCGCCTGCTCCAACCATTTGTAATTTTGCATCACAGCCTGTTCAACTTTCTTGATCTCTTCATCGTTAATGTGAGCAAATTTTGGATCTTTGGCCCTGAAATATCAAAAGTTACTCTTGAGCCTGATCAAGTAACGAAAACTGAAACACGTTTCCGTTTTCGTTACACATTTGAACGATCACAGCTGGTTATAAATACCTAAATTGCTCTACGACTTTGTTGGCCAATTGTAATGACCGAGCGAATTCTTCTATAATCGTAGGTCGTAGCTCGTGCTCCAAACGGCGCACTTGTATCGGTTCGCCTTTAGCTTTTAATTCGGTTAATTTATCTTGATATACTTGTCTATTGCAATCTTCGCCTTCTTCGTACAGCCAATTTTCCATATCGTCCAACTGCTGAATGAGATTATCACGATCTGCGTCCAAGATGAACGATGCCAATTCGTCCTCAGATGACAGTTTTCCACGAAGCTCGTACACATATTCCTCAAGGGCATTGCGGGCGTCCGCGCGTTCCTTCTCCTGACGATCGGCTGAAAATTTCAAGGCATACATTTGCATATTTTTATTTATTGTAGCCAGCAAAAAAAATATGCACACAATATGAATGGTCAAATCAGAAGATGTGTGAGGGAGATAAAGATTCTACCACTCATATGGCTTCACTAATAATATGCTTGTTTCCCTTCCAGTTACGAATAGTGAAATATAGTTCAATGATTCAAACTAATTAATATGACTGCCATAGAAACATAGCACGCCGAGAGAGATAGTGCAAGGGGGATTTCTGTCACTGCCACTCATTGGGAAAGTGATCATTAATATAAATTCAAAACATATCAAATAGGCTGCTCTCTGCATGCGCGAGAGTGGGACAGACATCCTTAAACCATATATTACATGCGACTGCTAATTGTAACTAAAATGTCAAGGACATCGCCTGGGTATGTGAGTATCAGGGTAAACGAGTCTGTCCATCTGACCTATGAATATAAATGTATAGTGGATTGGGTTGGTAGAACAGCCTTGGCTGAAACCCCGCCCACTCAAAAAAAAGGTAAAATAAAATAATAGTATATTAAGTAACAAGAGATTAAAGAGTTGTTGTTCCTGAGAGAATGGTTTAATCACGGAGTGTACCGTATCGTTTGGGACGCTTTCTATTGGCCAGTTTGGAATTTAGATCCAATATGGCGACTGAAATCAACGACCAATCAAAAACGAGATACCCTATTGTCGCCACTGTACCCCTCTCTCTCGGATCACGCTGCCCGACGGAGCGCACGGTCCAGTATAATTATAGTTCAGTGTGCCCTTCAGAAAAAAATTTGTCATTTAAAAGTAGACATAGGGAAAACATTACACATAAATCCCTATGTCTACTTCTTAATAAATATCACTCATCTCTCAATACTACTACTATATGATTTGCATATTTATGGTGACTCATTAAATATGTTAACTTCACAGTACCTGCGATCATTTTAAACTCCTGCTCGGTGTACTGATTGATTTCAACCTGCGAAAATCCAACAGTAAGCGACTCGATTGGTAATTCGGTACTTTTGACCAGCTGCTTCTTCTTTTTCTCCTTCTTCTCCTCCCCCTCCTAAATAAAAAAAAGGCGAATGAATACAAAATTTAACCAAATTTGTACGCTGGCCACGAAATGAATTTAAAAAGTGGGTGCATAAAAAACAAAAGTGGGATTGTGCGGCAAAGAAACGTTACACTAAACAAACTAAGAATAAATGGGACTGAAAAACGCCAGGCCAGCGCCAGGTTCAATAGCGTACCCGGCTGAACCAGGCAGATATTTTCTTCGTCCAGCCCGATGATCCTACCTCAGGTTGGCCATTGCTTGTCTCATTCTGAGGTGCTTCGGTACTCTCGTTAACCTTTTCGTTCTGTTCTTCTACCACTTCGGCTTCTGCTTCCTTACTTTCGATTAGAGATGCGCTCGATATATACATTATTCCGTGAAGATTCACACGAGCTTTCACTTTCACCTTCTGGGATCTTCCGTCCGCGGTCGGGTGTATATCGCGAACAGTCCACATACCTAAAACAATCCGTTTAGAGTACGAATAATAACAAGTTACGCCGCAGTACCAATATTACGATCCGGATAAGGAATGTTACCGGTGTAAGATGCGCGTATTGAGAATGGCTCTCTGCGATAGAAAGTCAACATCTTTGAGAAGGGAACGGAATGGTTGATGGGGAAAACTTCAATTTCCCCGGAAGATTCTCCATCGCTGCTTGCGTCCCACGATAAGCTAATCGGATAGTTTTGGGTGTCGGTAACGTTAAATTCACGCACTCGAACTGCAGGCGACAGCATCGCGCATTGAAGGGCGCATCCGCGACTTACGGCTTCATCCTGATTAAGAGTGGTACTGGCAGTTCGATGGAATACCTTTTCTATCAGGGATTTAATCGCCGGAATTCTGGTAGACCCGCCCACCACTTCCACAGAATGTATGTCCTCCAAAGCCAAACCTGACTGCTCCAGACATTGACGCAGAGTCACCTCGACACGTTGAAACAGTGAGGTGCACATTGCCTCCATATCGGCGCGCTTTATTTCGCTGCGTACGTCCTTATCCTCCATAAAGCATTCGATATTTAATGGTAAAGTGGTGGAATTGGCGGACATTTGTTTTTTAATCTTTTCCACCTCGGCGAGTAAACGAACGAAAGCCCTTAAAAAAATTCTCCGAATTAGAATTTTATTTCGTGTTGCGCACAGAAGGCTGCCAAGGTAAAAAGTTGGGTTGGCTTTTGGGAATAGTTCTCAAGCAAATCCTGAGACTCTTTCATACTCAAATAACTTGATTGGTCATCTATCACGCGCAACCCAATCATATGATTAATAAACAGTTTCAAACCAATATAGACAACAAGCGACAAACACAGACAGACAAACAGAAGGTCCAAATGACCCAAATTTAATCAGATTACCCGAGCTATTTTTAAAGAGAGGTATACCGAGTCTCGCCGTTTAACTGCTACTTAAGAGAGTCAGAGCTACTCAAAACGTCCTCCAGACTGATCGCGGTGGAAGCAAAAGTGATGTGATCTGACAACTAATGATTTCGCATTTTAACGGACCGTGTCAGGTCAGGTGGCCTTACAGTAGCTCCAAAGGTGCAACTAACGGCGACCGCGTCCCTAAGCTGAAATATTAGCGGTCATGACGAGCCTCATCGCTCTGTTGCACAAAAAAGAACAGATCCAGTCATGGCAGACACCTCTGATAACTCTATAATTGCGCATCTGATCTCTAATTTACCCATCGTCGTATCTTCTGTGGTTTCCAAGATCGCCATGATATATACTTATCTTGGACACTGTGTATTTTCTTAGTTAAGAGAGGTACAGAAAAATGTTTATTATCAAAGTTTCTTTATAATTAATGGAATAATCTGCTGTTTTCAAAATAAGTAAAAAAGTTATTGGACCCACCTCGTTTTTTAAAAGAAATTTTAAACTCAAAGGATAGGATATTAATTCTCTTTTCAAAAATATTTCAAAAAATTCAGTATTGATTAAAGATTTTTAAAAATTCGAAAATCTTAAAAACGTATTTTTTTGAATCATTTAAACTTTTTTAAAAATTTGTTTTTAATCCTTCCAAGTTTTTTGAATCACTTGAATCTTTTTTGAACACCATTACTTCCTAAAGGTGGTCCAAAATTTGTCTTTGACTACGCCACTGAATTCTACATACAAATATCTAAAATATGATAACATCTTGCAAGTCTCTAGCGGAGATACATTGCAGTCTCAACCAAAATAGGACACACCTATACACTTGACTAATAAAATACACATTTGTTTTTCCTAATGTCATATACTGAAAATTCACAGAAAACTAAGTTTTGAAAGGTGTTGCAAAACTTTTTTAAGGTAGGGTAGCTTCATTGCTATTATGCGACCTTTGAGCAAATCTTAATGCAAAAAATGTTTTCACTACGCCACTGGATTCTACGTCAAAATATCCAAAAAGTTTTTTCAAATTTTTAATCTTACATGAGTAGTAAGATATGATACTCAAAAAGTTAAACTTTTCGTTTTCACTCTATGTCTTGAAAGTTATAACTTTAAGCATACGGCTCGCCTCACTTATTTAACTTAGTTGAAGGAATACAAAAAACAGAAGTTTATAGAGATACAAACAAGAGATAGCATATAACTTCGCATCATTTGACTGCTAACAAGATCTGCAGAAATGATTGCAGGTAGTTCGAGAATATTGCTGAAAATGTGATGGCCCTTATGAAATTGAGGAGCAATTACTGAGGCTCCAAGGTCAAAAAAGTCGGGGACCTTTGCTCTAGGTAATTAGTTACATAGTTCGCGCCTGTGCGAGGTGAGGAGGCGCAGAGGAGGTGGGGAGCTGGACCCTTTCAACTTGCTCTTGTAATATTCTTTTTACAAGTCTTATGCTGTGTAACAATGTAAATAATAGAAACTATCTTAACTACAGAATGCCACGGAGGAATACCAGATACTATACAGGGTGTTTTTTGAGAGCGCTAGTTAAACGTTTCTGGGAAAGTGAAATAGGTAGGTTTTTGAAAATTTGTACTTAGGAGTTACTCTGAAGGCCGAATCGATGTAAAATATTTTCAAAATGGCCGCACTTCCGGAAACACAGGAAGTAGATAGTAACTTCGTTATTTGAAATGGCAACCTCTATTTTTTATTGGATTTTTGGATTCTACGTGAAATCTATGGTTTTTAAGTTAATTTGGCTTTAAGAAAAAAATGGCGGATGCAGATGGTACCTTGATAATTGATTACTTGAAAACGGTTGTAGTCATGGCAACCCATTTTTATCAGTGCATAGGCTTTCTTTTAGTGTACTTAAAAAAAAGTTAACTTGCATACGACCGCCCCTATGGAGATCCAAATTTATGAAGCTTCAAGGACTAAAAACTCAGTTTTTTTAAATGGAATGACCATGTTCTTAATATTGCATGAGATAGAGAATCGAAATTGGCATATTTTGATATTACATGTTCCTATCTATAGCTATCTCTAACCGTAGCTAACGTATTCCAATTTTATTGAATTAACTATTTTTTTCGGATTTTCTTTTTAGTAGCCGGCCATGATTTTATAACAATCGAATTTTAAACAAATGGAATTGTTGCCAAAACAGATACCACATTACCTTTTTGAATTTTCAGACCTATACGTTGTTTAAGAAATTCAGTTGAACGACTGTCTAGATTTCTCAAAAATTTTTCGTCCTATATCCTTAATAAATGACTTATTTAGACTAGAATCAATGATATTAAAGAATCCTTTCCTTGACTTGTTTAAAATTCGATTGTTATAAAATCATGGCCACCTACTAAAAAGAAAATGCGAAAAAAAAGGCATCAATTCTGAGATCAATTCAATGAAATGGGAATAAATCAGAAACTGTTCAAGATATCTACAGGAACATGCCAATTTCGATTCTCTATCTAATGCAATAGTAAGAAAATGGTCACTTCATTAAAAAAAACTGAGTTTTTAGACTTTGCAGTTTCTTAAATGTGGATCTCCATAGGGGTGGTCGTACACAACTCAACTTTTTTTAAGTACACTAAAAGAAAGCCCTATGCATTCTCTATGCACTGATAAAAATGGGTTGCCATGACTATAACCGTTTTCAAGTAATCGATTATCAAGGTACCATCTGCATCTGCCATTTTTTTTCATAAAGTCAAAATTACTTAAAAACCATACATGCAGATATCGACATATGGGTATCAAAAGAACTGAAATTTCACGTAGAATCCAAAAATGCAATAAAAAATAAGGGGTGCCATTTAAAATAACGAAGTTACCATCTACTTCTGGTGTTTCCGGAAGTGCGGCCATTTTGAAAATATTTTACATCGATTCAGCCTTCAGAATAACTCCTAAGTACAAATTTTCAAAAACCTACCTATTTTACTTTCCCAGAAACGTTTAACTAAAGCTCCCAAAAAACACCCTGTACTGCATTCATTATAAGAAGGTAGTAGATGGCGCTGTGTTTAACGATAGACACACACAGGATAAATATAAAACGGCACCAAATTTGAAAAATATGAATAAAACAAAAGATTTCACGTTTGGATCACTGAAATTGACAGCTGTCAGTTCGACAGTTTGGTTCCTCCCGTGTGCATTTTGTTAATTTTCAAAAATTCACTTAATTTTCCTGGAAGCAGTTGGGTTTAGGGAAATTCATTAACCAGTTTTAGGAGAAATCAATCCGAAAAAATAATTCACATTTTTGAGAACAAAAAAAATTGGCTCGATCCCAGGGTTGGCAAAACGAAAAACCCATTTAAAAAACCCACAGGGTTTTTGTGTCAAAAACCCACCCAACGACCTATACAAAAACCCAACACAAAAACCCATACAAAAGCCCAAAGAATTTGAGACACAAAATGAGACAAAATCGAGATAATTTTTATATAGTATTTAATAACAAAATATAATGTAGTTTACTTGGAAACAGACAGGTAACTACCCATAGATCAGTCTTACATTATTGTTCCTAAGTTTCAAAAAAATTTACATTAAAATATAAAATTCAAAACGGCTTATTCATTAGGAACAAAATAATAATTAAAAACCTAAAGCAATTTTTTCTCTTTTTTAAAGTGACTCATTTTTATTATTTTATTTTAATTCACATATCAAAAAGAAACACGCTAAAACACTCCTTCTACTTTTATTACAACACTTAACCAAAAACGACCAGTCTAAGTTCAAAATTAATGTTATTTTTCTATAATTTGAGGTTAGAGTTCCGGAATTTCGACAAAGACCCAAACACCCAAGAAAAACACAAAAACCCCAACACAAATACCCAAAACCCCACCCAAAGCATACAAAAACCCACATTTTTGCCAACCCTGCTCGATCCCCCCAATTTACTTACCTTGCATTGGATTTAGCATCAATTCGATACTTGGTTTGAAACTCTTTACAAAAATAATCCGCTAAAATTAAGTCGACATCGCGGCCGCCCAAATGTGAATCGGCGGTGGTCGCCAGCATACGCAACTTCCCCTTATTGAACGCGCACGCCGACACCTGCAGAGACGCGTGACCGCAGTCGACAAACACGACGTTACGAGGCTTTTCGTCCGGTCCGGGCAGATCCTGTTTATAAATGCCATACGCCAGGGCGGTCGCCGTAGTTTCGTTAAAAAGTCGTAACACGTTCAGACCTAGAAACCGCACCGACACTCAAAGTGGCACCACCGACGTTTGCCGCGTACTTACCGGCGATGCAAGCTGCGTCTAGTAGAGCTTTACGCTCGTTATTTGTAAAATACGACGGAACGGAGATCACACAGTCATTTACTGGAGTTTGTAAAGCTGTGGCGGATGTGTCTTTTAATTTGGTCAGAAGCATAGCTAAGCATTGCTCTGGCGAGAATACTTGATCTTCATTTAAATAATTTACCTTAAAGATCCCAAAATTAACTTGAATTAAGAATGATTGGTACTCACTTTAATTCCGGCACCTCCAGAGGCAGTTTCTATAACAGTAAACGGTAGCAGTTGCATTTCTCTTTGTACCTGAGGATCATTAAATCTTCTTCCCAGTAGACGTTTCAATCCATAAACGGTATTTCGCATATTCGTAATTTGTTGATTTTTAGCAGCGACACCTAAGATACGGTTCTTTCCCGAGAAGGCGATGTAAGATCTATAAGACGAAAGTGAAAGACAAGCGCAAAGATTTTCATAGATTTACTTACGGTGTGGCCCTCAAACTGTAATCATTCGCTATAGTTTCGATCCCTCCTGCCTTTGCAACTGCTACATAGCAAGATTCGTTGCCAAAGTCAATACCAATTACAGACATTGCAGCCATGACAAAAGTTTTTTGAAATGCTCCTTAAAAACGATTATTTAAAAAGAAATTAAAAACAACGTCCGTAGATAAATGCGAATGGAATGAGATGAATCGCAATTATGTTGTAACACGTTTTTTTAAACGATTTTAACACAATGTGCTCGGCTACCGGTACAGAAGTGAGAAGATACTTGTCAAGTGAAGTTTGTTTTAAAAACCAGTCGCGTAGCCAACTTCACTCTTTCTAGAATTTTCCTTAGGAATTTTTCCGATTTTCGGTTTCTGCGCACACACTAATGTATAGGATGTGTCGGAAGTGTTTATACAAGGTGCTAAAATGATTGAATTCATTACAAGTGCATTTATTAGACTACATTTTATAAAAATACCGCAAGCTGCCCAAAAAAGAAAATTCCTTATTATCATCTGCTAGTTGTACTAGTACAATGATGGTACCTTCATTGACGTAGGCAACTTATCGTACATATTACAAAATCGAACTTGAATTACACGTTATCGAGGGCATCAGGTCATAGGGGCGTATACGTCATTTATTAGAAAATTTTTTACGTTCAATTGGTTATGCTGTTGTGCTGATGCTCTCGATATATTATACACGTTAAGTGAAAATTAAAAACCTCCCGTCACCAACATTAAAAAACTTCAGTTCACATTTGAGTAAAACATTAAAAGCGCCTTTTCTTCTTGTAAATAATATAACATGGAGAAAAAGTATTTTAAGCAAAATATTTGTGAAACTTTTTTGTCACTTCTAGTTGACTTTCTCGGCAGCTTTTAAAAATAGTTATTAATAAAATCATTATAATAATGACAGAACAAACTACTGCCTACCAGAGCTGGCCAGTATTCGATTTTGTAAATACGTTTTAGTATTCAAATCCTTTAAAGTATTCAAATACTTTGTAATTAAATACTTTTATGGAAGCAGTATTTGTATTTGTACCTCAAATACTTTCACAAATATTTAGTATTCGAATACTTCGCAAAGTATTTGGAGACTTCGTAAAGTATTCAAATACTTCGCAAGGTATTTGAATACTGTGAGAAGTATTCGAATCCTTCGCATAGTATTTGAATACTTAACCTTCCCTTTTTACCCTGCTTTTTACCAAAAATCGACTACTCCAAAATTTCTCGGGAAAACACTTTTTCTTATTAATTTTGGTGCGTAGAATCCAAAACAATTCGTACTTTTTCGATCAGACTTCTCAATCAAAAGTTATAGACTAGAAACCAATTTCGAAAGAAAATTTAAAATTTTGAACTAGTAGCCCAATCTTGAAACTGTTTGAAATTATGGATTCTACAGGCCACATTCTATGAGAAATTTTTTTTTCCGGGTCGATCTGAAACAATTTTTTTTTGCGAGCTTCAAAAAAAGCAGTGTATAACCTTCCTTTTTTACCAAAAATCGACTACACCAAAATTTCTCGGGAGAACACTTTTTCTTATTAATTTTGGTGCGTAGAATCCAAAACAATTCATACGTTTTCGATTAGACCTCTCAATAAAAAGTTATGGACAAAAAACAAATTTCGAAAAAAAATGCAAAGGGCTGTAACTTTTGATCTAGTAGCCCAATCTTCAAACTGTTTGAAATTATGGATTCTACGGGCCAAATTCTATAAGAAATTGTTTTTTCCCGGTCGATCTCAGACAATTTAAACAATGTTATTACCTTAATCAAGTAATGCAGGTCCGAATGTGAGGTTACTTGGTACATGCCAGGGGCGTCGCTAGGAAATTTTCCAGGAGGGGGGGGGCAGCGTGAGATTTTTATTGAGGTTTTAATGGGGCAATTTGGGAACATATATCTATTATATACCTATATAAATTCTAATTCTATAACGTAAATGTATTTTCACAAACGGACGTATGTATACAAATACATATAAAAATAATACGAAATTATCGCAAACACATTCGACGTGGATTGCTTGCAAAAATTTCTACAGTTTGGTTTATATAATAATCTTGATTTTTGAAAATCATATCACGATGAACACTCATCATAGCCAAACCATCAAGACGGGCTTGTCCCATGGTACTTCTTAGCCACGTCTTTATCCTCCTTAGTCCACTAAATGACCGCTCCACCGTACATGTTGTGCACGGCAGACAAACTAAAATCTGCAGAGCTGTTTTAATTTGCGGAAAGAACTCGTCTGCCTCTTTTAAAACATCCACCACGGTCAACTCGTCGATCGTTGTATCCGCTTTATTCGCCCATAGATTTCGCCAAAGCTCTATTTCACTCGAAATGTTAGGAAGGTTATAAATGTGATTTTAGATAAAATCATATAAACTGCACATGTAAACGTGGACCGTGGTAAGTATATCACACGTTTTTATAAGCAAGGTTCTGTAATTTTTGTGTTCATTTTTCATTTCCAGGGGGGGGGCAACTGCCCCTTCCTGCCCCTCGCTGGCGACGCCCATGGTACATGCGTTATCGAGCGATTCCCTATTATGAAGCGCCCTTGGCATAATGTATAAACCCATAATTTTAAAGTGCGACTACTTACGTTTGAGGATGGAGAACAAATGCCACTGTCACGATAAGCGTCTGTCCACGCATGCGCACGTATGCAAGCGCAAAAACACAACTCGGCGCCGAAATTAATTAAATAATAATGTTCAATTACTAGTAAAAACGAAACTGCAATAAAAACACTTCAAATAATTAATAAAAAAGGTAAACTCAAATCCGAAAATTCACAAGCGATTATGGCCATTTAACAATAGGCGTCCTAATCTAGGTAAAGAGAGGTCTAAGCTTAAAACTCTTGAAAGGTTATATGACAGATATACAGTGCTATTTATTAAAAAGTAAACATAGGGATTTACGTGTATTGTTTTTCCCTATGTCTACTTTTAGATGACAAAATCCTTCTCAAAGGCGCCTAATTTTATGCACCCAAAATAACTTCTTAAAACAAATAAAGATCTGGATGTCATATTAATTAATTTGAGTATTGCTGTTTAGCTTCCGTATTTTTTCGTTTTCGTTCGTGTGCGATGTATTTGACTGAAGAAAAAGTTGATATTGTCATTTGGTATAGTGCTGTTAACAGTTTAAGGAGCGTAAGAGATTTATTTTCTGTGAACTATGTTCAAACAATATTCATATTAATCAATATGACAGACGAATCTTTATTTGTTTTTTGCAAATATCTCCAAAACTATATTTATATGCGTTTTTCGAAAAAGTATGTAGAGCTCAAAATTAAAGAGGGGGAAGTTTCCTATAAAATATGTTCCTAGTAAATATTTATCACGAAATAATGGCATATCTTATATTCAATTAATCGATTAATTCATTAATTAATCCATGTTAATAATTTATGATCAATTAATTTCGATTTAAAATGCTATACTTGTTTCCACACCACCCAAGAGGTAAAGTACACGGCGCGTTTTTTTTAACGTGGTTTCCCCTGCAGGCCTAATCCACTTAGGTACTGAAATTATCTTTGGCAAAGGCCAGACGAACCTTGCTCGTTGATTTCCACATCTTCAACGGGGAAAATGGTCACCTCCAGCTTCAGAATCGATGTCGATTTCCTTCAACTCGTCGGACTCTCCTTCTGCAGTCGATCAAGAATCATCAAACAGCGAATGGAGGTCTTCTTCATCGGATTCGTCCAGTGTCACTTGGCTGATATATTCACAAGTCTTCCCATTGCAGACACCGCAAACCATTGAACATCTCAATCCTATTAATCGTCTAAAAGTATTCAAACCCCGTTCTTTCACCTTCACAGTTTTACCCTCCGAAAGACTTTCGTCACAAACAAAACACTTTTCAATCGAAGCCATAATAAAAGAAATAACACAATCAATTTATTACACTTGCACTATTGTCAAGTAAAATCAACACGTAAACGCTAAATACGTTGCGAAACGTAACACTTTTTCGAATCTATTACCAAACACGCTTATCATCAGTACAACTGTTAAGCGACACGACAAACGATCTGCTTCGAGGCGCCTTGTAGAGAGATGACGTGTAAATAGCCAGCGCCCTCTGGTGGCGATTTATTGCAGGCGTGCGTTATTATATACGCTCTTAGACTGTTTTTCAAAATAGTCGCCATTCATATTGAGGCACTTAACATAGCGTGGTACAAGTGTTTTGATTCAAACTTTGTATACATCCGCGGACTGTGGGGGCGTCAGAAGTGGGTACCGACAAAGGGAATATGGTAGCTCCCGACAAGATCTTATTGATTGTGGAGTCAAAACTGGCTAATAAAAGTACTGATCTGCCACACAAAAATGCCTTGGATCTCACACGGTGACTTTGACAATTTTTTTAATTTTTTAACAATGTTCCGTTCATCCTAAAGGAGCGTAAATTTAGTTTTCATTATATTTCAGCGCACACTGTAGTCGACTTCAGTAAACTATTAGAATTTAACTGCCGTTCTTGTCTTTTGTGACTGATCTATACGGTACACCACGTACTGCCCATCCCGACTTAGTGCCCTCGGTACTTCAGCGCCTCTGGCGCGCCCTCCCATCTTCAGAGCGTGGTGCCGCGGCACCTTTGGCACCTACCTAGTTACGCCACTGCTGCACTTATGCTAGGAATGTGCCCGTTAGTCAGTAAATTATAAGTATAACGAGAAACCAATTGAATAGCCCGATTTACTATAAAAGATAAATGTATACGCATAGGTATATGGAGATAGGGGCAGTTTATAGAAATTAACAGAATATGTTGTCATTCAATCAGCTTGAGCCTAAACGGCTCACTTTAGCAAAAATATGCTAAGAACATTTCCTGTACGAAATTGTTGCCTCTTCAATTTTGCTATCAACATACTTTTTCGAAAAACGCATAGTTTTGAAGATATTTGCAAAAAACCGTTTTTGGGCGCCATCTTGGCAAGATGGCGGCGCCGGCGGCATGTCTAGGATTGTGCATTTTGTGAATTTTAGTTCTGGACATCCAAACCTGCGAAGTTTCAAAACTTCCGGACTTATTTCCTCATAACAAACGTTGGATTTTGTTTCTTAAACTGCCCCCGTATATACGGAACCGGCTTTCTAAAAATACCAAACGATTGCACTTGGATCATGCTACAATAAAGTGATCACTGATCAGTCTCTTGGACTTTATTCGGCCGATAAATTAATTGTAAATTATTATATCGGTCTACGATGACATGCTATCGTTTTTCGTTCACGTTTTCACCCATGTATTTAGATTACGCAATGGCTATTATCCTATGCTATGAGTTTTTGCCCCATAGCTATTACCACATTCCAAGGACAATTGTACCTACATATCTCGCCCCCTTTCTTCTCGTGCATGCTATACAGAATGACAAAACCAAAACACAACCTTGCCTGAAATCGGTTTCGTGCCGGTATTTTTAGTACGAATTTTTACATTAAATTGGAACCGTTAGTATACAATTTGTGATTTATATATGACGCACGTTGTGACCGCCAACTACTTTTGTATGCAACATCGTTGCAGTTGCATTGCCACTAATGCAAGTGCATTGCAGTTGTATCAATACATAGGCAACTAGATCGCACAGTAAATGCTTGATGTTTTATGAGTAAATGAAGAGGTGACACCAACTTGCTCAAGCATCAAGATTAATATACTGATAAAACTACCTCTGTGATATACAATCTCTGAAAGGTGCATCAGAAATACCTATCCATAATGCTTTCACTTTCACGTAGTACCTGCGGAAATCTAACATGCGTAAGTGACTTTCTTTTGTTTATTGCTAATGCTAGAAGCATTATTTTAGAACGTTGTCAGAAAGCGATGGCTGTCTTCTTTACCACTCTCCAAAAACTTGGAGTTGATAACGAAGGACAAAATACGCTCAAACGTCACAAATTTTAAGTTGAGCACACCATTGGATAAGCCCCTCGTTATTTTACTCTCATGGCTCTTGGCGAAGCAGAAGCATATGCACAAATTCGCGGACTACTACACCGGGCACGGCTTTGACGTACTCAACGTTAACACGGCACCATGGCAGATGCTGTGGCCGACCAAAGGAACACAAGTATTGAACGTTATCGATTTCCGACGGCTAATTACACATTTGTAGGTAATTGCGAATGAAGTAGCAACATTTCTCGACCGAAACTCGAGTTACGCGCCACTAATTGTTCATGGCTTTTCAGTTGGTGGCTATCAGTGGGGCGAGGTTCTTGTTCGGTTATCGCAAGAGCCCCAGAGGTTCCGGCATGTTGTAGATCGTATCATCGGACAGGTATGGGATAGCGTGGCCGATATATCCGAGATACCTTACGGATTTCCGATGGCACTGTTTCCCAAGCATAAAGTTCTGCAAAATGCGATGAGACAGTACATTCTGTAATTATAAGGTACACTCCCGAAGGGCACAACTACTGATAGCTTTTGTTTAGCTATCATCTGCGGACATTCGACAAGGTAGCCACCTGCCATTACGTTAGGGCTAGTCAATTATTCCACGGTAACATGGTGAAGGCGCCCGCCTTATGCTTTTTAAGCAAGACTGACCTCGTGGGCGCCGAGACCTCTAACCTACGGTTAAAGGAAAACTGGGAAAGTTTGGGGCTAAAGGTAGGTCTGTCTAGTTTTCGATATATTAATCGCATAAAAATATCGTAGGTCTACTGGCAATGTTGGGACACATCGCCACATGTTGGACATTACAAAAGACATCGCGAAGAATATCTTGAGAAATTGGAAACATTCCTTTATGAAATAAACGCAATTCCTTGGGAAAACAAATTACAAGTGAAATTATAATTTTGGTGTTTGTACTTATAGCACATAAGTTTCCATGTAATTTCCTGTTTTTGTAAGACTGTGTAATTCTGCAAAGTACCTCACAATAAGATTATTCTCTTTGTTTCGATTATAATTTTTGTATTATGTAATTGAGGAATATGGCCAAATGTTTTAGAAGTAGCACTCAGTTGAGAGTACCTATAATTTTGATGTGTAGCTCATTTCTCTGTAAATCGTGCACAATTCAAACTTTTCATGCAATGCATAGAGAAACACTAGGTTTTAACACTTTTGTAAATAAAATATTGTAATAAGAATATTGTTTTTGCAACATAAAAACAATGTATTCAAAAAGATGTGGGTGTGGGCGATTGTAGAGACATGGTTGACGAAATTTTAAGCTATCTACGCCGCTGCATATTATATTAATTAAAATGCAGGGTTGGCAAAAATTTGATTTAAATCTAGATGCTCATAATTTCAATTATCAAGAAGAATACCAATAAAAACGTCGCTGTCTAGCTCAAAATAAAATTGACATATTTTATAATTTTCCATCTTTTGTTTTTGAAATTGACATAATTTAACCTCAATGTAGAATCACACATTTGATACCGTTCACTTTTATTCTTTGCAATCGCGTTCATTTTTGTCTGTTTCTATTACGCAGTCTCTTATATTTTTAGATCTATCAAACATGCGAAATTTATCGAATTGTTTGATCTGTGTTTGTGTACTGATTTGTTTGTAAGCTAAAACTCCCCGCAACCACCGCTCATGCTACCTGTCTCGGGCGCGCGACTCTGCTAAAACAGAAACTCTTTGTTTTAGAATCTATGTGCGATATGTGTGTTAAAACATTGTGTTTGCCCTCCAAGGCCATGTAATTTTCCATTTTATTGCACCAAAAGATGAGTCACCTGTTGTTTTGCAACTTGTTTTGTATTTATATGTATCATGCTTTATATCAATGAATTGCAACAAATTATATTACACATAGATATAGGTATAACATTTTCCCTATTGCTCATTCGAGACTATTAAAATAACTGGACAAAATGCAAAGAGGTTCAAAGTACGAATAATACAATTATGCCATCATATAGTGTTTCATTTTTCATTCCCCTACTGTACCTTATTAATAGGTCATATCGTTGTTCACAACTAACTGCCGCTTTTTGATTTCAAATTTAAGCGGGATCTGTTTAGCTTTTGGCGAGGGAATAGCTATACGGCTGGTCACTTTTAAATTTTATTTCTGAGTTCTTGTAGTTATGGAACCTGGGGAGTACACTACAATGACGATATAAAAAAAAATGGTAGAGGTGTATAAAGGTCTGTAAAAAGTTTCTATTTGAAATTAAGTTGCCCTACAATTGATTCTTAAGCTACAGTTATGTGAAAATGTGCACAGCATCACTATAAATGGGCCCATCTACATGAAGAATATTTTATATAAATCATTTTTTGATATCCCCGCTAGTTTCCGAAATAATCGACTATCTCCAGATAAATGGAACACCCTGTATATAAATTATTAAGTCACATTCAAATATGAGATTACATATACGGAACTAGAGGATTTCCACCTATGTCAGTAGGTAATGATTAGAGACGTTGCAAAATTTACCACAAAAGAAATGACCGCTACACCCCAATTCGTCGCACTTATACAGGATGGCCATTTGAAAACGAAACAGAGCCTATTTTGGGAACCTCAAAACATTTACGAAAAAATCCTCGGACCCGTCAATTTTTGATCCGAGGGGGAACCATTTTTTTGCTAGTTTCGCCCCCCTGGGGGCAAAGCCATAGCGGGGGTGACAAGTGTCCCCAAAATTTTAAATCGAATGGGGGGTCGAGTGATACCTTATTTTGAAAGTATTTTTATGTAGATTATAACTCTTAAGATTTAAATCAGTTTTATTTTAAGTGCTTAAAGCTAAAATCAATCAAGTCAATGTTGGAAATGTTGGCCTTCGACTTCCATACAATAATACAGGTTTTGTTCAAACCTTTCCCATACATTTTGCAAAACTTCTGGGGTGATTTGACGACATTCATCAATTATTCTTTGTCGCAAGTTCTCTAGCGACGTTGGCTGACTAGCATAAATTTTAGTTTTTAAAGGTCCCCATAAAAAAAATCTACCAGACTTAAGTCCGGGGAACGAAGAGGCCATTCAATAGCTCCTCTTCTTCCAATCCAATGTTCTGGAAACGTTTGGTCCAAATATTGACGAACCCTTGCAGCATAGTGGGGTGGCGCACCATCTTGTTGAAATACTATACGATTTTCCAAGTACTCGTTATTTTCTAGTATCTCCACTAATGCCGGATGAATCGTATTTTCTAATAACTTCAAGTACATCTCTCCTGTTAGATTGCCACGTAAAAAAAGGGGCCTACGATATGGTTACCAAAAATGCCAGCCCAAACATTCAATTTTTCGGGACGTTGTGTATGCACCTCACGAAATAGTCTGGGATTTGAATCAGCCCAATAGCGACAGGTGTGTATTTGTCACTACTATTATTTGACAACAACAATTGACAAGCACTATTAAACTTCAAAATGTTGCTATGTAACGCTCTCAACAATAACCAAGATTTCTGTTGCAGAATTGGCATAGCCACCTACAGGTATTAAAAAGAAAAAAAACAACAACAAAAAATACGGTTCAGAATGTAGGAGAACAACATTTTTTGTATTTACTGATGTATTAATTTTTGTTATTTAACTAATTCATTTACAAGCATTTTTTTCATAAGAAAATGTTGACACGTTTTTAACTTTTATTAGCCCCTGTATCGGCTAGGCAAATTAGTAGCGATTTCAAATTTAAGGGTTATAATCCACATAAAAATACCTTCAAAATAAGGTATCACTCGACCCCCCATTCGATTTAAAAGTTTGGGAGCACTTGTCACCCCCGCTAGGGCGTTGCCCTTAGGGGGGCGAAATTAGCAAAAAAATGGTTCCCCCTTGAATCAAAAATTGACGGGTCCCAGGATATTTTCGTAAATGTTTTGAGGTTTCCAAAATAGGCTCTGTTTCGTTTTCAAATGGCCACCCTGTATGTAGAGATGTAGGTGCAGTTAAACCCCAATAAATCATCCCCTGAAACGTTTCTAGACACGATATTTATTATCGTTCTGTTCAGAATTCCCTGTCTTTGTTATACTTGGGCAAAAACGAAATTTACCCTTTATTCAATTCATAATTCTAATCAGACCCGCTCTGGCTACCCATAAGGGTAGGTTGTGTCGAGGGCGCAGACCTGTAAATAAAACTACGAGGTCTGAGGGGGAACCCTAGCACAATGGGAACGAACAACAAACTTGGCTTTGTCGCGTACCTCGCGATTCAGGGACTGTCGCCAATGCGAAAGCAGTCTAAAGGCCGATTCTCACTTGCACTCAACTTCGCGACGCAATGCGATACCGCGATGCAAAGTACTGCTAAATAAAGAATGCGTGGCGTCGTAAACGTAAACATGAAATCTTCTTTAGCGACGCCTTGCAGCGCGGCATCGCGTCGCGGTTACCAAGCGCGGGGTGAGTGAAAATCGAGCTTAAGAGTCGCTCACTTTGAACCGGAACCGTTATTTAAGAAGTGATGACAACCGGGAATCGATACACTGGTACCATTATTTATAGTGCCAAAAACCCGGTATTTTTCAATTCTCCCTCTCTTGTTCGGTACAGTAGACACGTTGCGCTTTGTGAGAGGGTAATGTTGCTCTCAAAATTTGGTATTAAAGTATTGCTGTTCAAAACTTTGCTTAGATTTTTAAGATTAAGTACCTAGTGGTTATATCATAGACATGACATATGTATCACTATATAATGGTGGTATACTGGTTAGTATTAACGATGAAACAGTAAGTTTATGTAAGATGGATAGGGTTAAACTGCCCGTAACTATTTGACGTATGGCAAAAAAGTCAGTGTGTAAACTTTGCCATTAAATAGATTGATTAACCAATACAAGTTATTATTATTTATCCCTTACTTGTATTTGTACTCAAATTTATAACATACATGTACATTTATAACACGAGCGCGAATTTCACTATTTATCACTTCGGCATCGATTTTGGAACTTCTATTAAACACAACTCAATTTGCTTATAGATCAAACGAACAGACACGTTCAGTGAACATATACAAAAAAATTATTTTAATTAGTCCTATTTGTTGCTGCTGAAAAAAGTTTGGAATATGTTGCATCCTACGAGTAAAAATTTAATGTTTACTTGTAGAGGTTACAACTAAAGTTGCCTTTTTGAAATTTTGTTGGAGGGAGCCAAGTCGACACATCTAGCCTTCATTCCCTTAAAATTTAGGACATTATAATGTGCTACAAATTACACGTAGCAACAAAGCCTAAATCAGGATGTGCATATGCATATGTTCTTAATTATTATATCTGTTTTTGCCAATTGATAGCTAAAAAATAGCTTAAAAATCATACGTGGCATAAAAGTACCTTCTGCAGAGGCACCTCTAAAAAGCATTATGCAGGTCACTCTGTAATTGGGCGCAAGTCTGTTGAGGGCCCAGAACAAGAGAGTGATAATAAATAAAAAAATAAATAAGTAGAGTAGGATTTTCCTAAGTTTGCACGCACGTCATCGAGTATTGACATCATTCTAAACTAGATATGTTCGTATGTTTACATAGTACCTCTGCAATTGATACAACAGAATAAGTATGTAGGAAAACATAGGAACAGTGCTGAATTTTAATTGGTATACTCATTACGCAAACAATCATCTACACTCGACTGCATTATACCAACCATAAAATGCAGCACTGTTTGTATGGTTTCAGGTTTTCTACATACTTATCTTCTATCGATTGCAGATACTGTGTAAACATACTTAATTCAGATGCAGGAGCAGGATATCGAATAAAATGTCATGTTGCGGGTAAAAAAGCGCACCGAGTTTGAACCAAGAAATGAAATTATGAAGTTTCATATTAAATATTAGTGTCAGAAATCAATTGCCCCGCCACGTTTGGGAAATTCCATGGTGGTATACCTATTCTAGCAATAGCATTATCCACTTTCTAAGAAAAAGTCAAAGAGGCAATGCACATATCTCCTAGACCAGCGGTCGCCAACTGGTGGGCCGCGTGAAAATTTTAGTGGTCCGTGAAGAATTGCTTCATTCTCATTGAATAAATATGCTTTTATATTTGTGTGGTGTGAATATGCGGGAAAAGAATGTACCACAATAAAAACAAGGGTTGGCCAAATATTTCTTTTATCCACCAGGGCGCACGCGAAAGTACCATTTGCATGGCTACCTCCCGGCTCCCGGATACTGGAGCTCAAGTTTAGGCATGCATCAGAATCTGATGCGCCAATCAGTTTCGCACTGTGTATGTACAGAAGTCCGAGTAGTATAGATCACCCTGTATATGTATGCACATAACCACGCATTTTTAAATTTAAAAATTGCCGGCAAACTTTTTTAGGTTAATTAAAGTTGGAATGGAAAAGAAGGTAATTTACATTTACGATTCTACTT